TTTATAGTAGGCTTGTTCATCAGACCGAAAGCTTACGATCCAGGAGGCCTGGGCGGGACTGGGGTAGTTAGTGTTAGAAACACTGGTTTTCGGAATGTTTAAGTTTCCGTTTCAAACTCATTGTGCAAGCATATGGAGATGATCATGTCAAGTCAAGTCAAAGAATCGCTTTACACACCTAGAAAGGTGGATATTCAGTAACCACGTAATCATTGTTTGTCAACAAAAGTAAAAAAACACATGATAATACCGCAATTAAAACACCTGAAAACGGACAGCAACATCAAAAAGCGAATGGTATACTCGGATGTTTATGATTGGTTTAGTCTAGCATTTTGTGCAAATTTCCTGCAACGAGTTCATGGTTTGTTAGAAATCTGGCGAGATACGGTTCAATGGAGTGCCTGTGAGCTACACTGTGTCTTTATAAGTTTGTGAGTGGAACGGTTGGATGAGTGAGAAAGGCACTGACTAAAAGCCGAATAAAGGGGATGGGAAATATCGGGTGAAATCTTATTGAAGAATGTTTTACAGTACTTGAGGTGGTGTGTCACCACATACTGTACCAGATGTTCCTGTGATACAGGACTATAAACCGAAAAAAACCTGAGGGATCGGGAAATCAGTTTGAGATCCTTGTCAAAAAGACCGGGGAAGATAAAAGGGGATCCATAAAGCCAGTGGAACAAAACGCGAACAAAAACAAAACGCCTTATGAGATGGGTTGGGATAGAAAGTGATTAAAGACGTCACACATAAAACGTGAACCCTTTCAGAACAGGTGCGACCTAGACAAACAAGAATCTGACTAAGAAAATGGAATCTGAGTTAAGAACCATGCAGAAAACGACCAGTTTTCCCGTAGTTTAACAATAGGTCAGCGGGAAAATAATACACCCTTGAGAAATGGGAAGTCATCCCCAACCTCGGTCTTTATTTATATATTATATTTCACACTTGTCTGAGGACAGACTGTGTGCCAAACAAATCATGGTACAATAATCTTGATAAAAAAAGAAAATGTTCGATGATTGGCTTGTGGGCTGAATACTGCCAGGTTGCCCAGGCTAAGGCAGGTCTTTATTTACGCCCGTATTAGTGAAAAACAAAGGAAGTTAATGAGCGTCACCATGGTACACTTATTGTTCAACACAAAAACCAGCAACAGATAGCAACTTGGAATTGTGGAAAATAAAGCACTATGCAGTATGCACACCCAGAAAGAGACGCCTGTTTTCAGTAAAATGGTCCCTTACAAACATAATAATAGTAATATTGCTATTAATTTTGCTTCCTGGATTATTATTTATTTAGCATACCAATGTACAGTCAACTTTCAAGAAGGCGTAATGATGACAAAGCTCGTACGATCTAGTCGAAATTGTAAGCTGTGTTTTATGTGTGTGTGTGTGTGATGTCATGAACGGTAAAATCGTCGCAGACCATGTACACACAATTATGAAATCAGCCTGCTCAAGAGTTGGTTTCTACACGTCTTAGAGTTGAAAACTTTTTGATGTCCACTGATCCTCAGTGCTTTTTCCCATCTGAAATAAACCATACCAGAAGGACCGATTACAAAAGACTTTTGCTTGTTTGGATCAGCCGATCCAACCGATCACAAGAACCACACACTGAGGATCTGATTGGATCATATTCCGCGATCTGTGGCGCTTAAGATCCCTCATCCCAACACGAGACTGTCTGATTACCGGCTTTTACGTTTTGTACTGCTCTTGTTGTTACGTCCAGCCCATCCCTGTGCTGATGGCACTCCTGCTGCACAGTCGAATTTCACTGGGCTCGCCTGAGACTTACAGCTCTAAACAAGGTGCAGTTTCTCGCTCGGGTTAGCTGGGCAAGCATCAGGTCGATAAATGAATTGGTCGTTTGATTTTCGGGCCGGGCACAGGAGAAGGATAGGTTCCGAATCCGACGCTGTCTAAATGTTCGTGGAGGATCACCACAAGAGTATCAGTTGTGGAGCGATGCACCACGTGGGAAATTCGGAATGAAAACTGCTCAAGCGATGATGACACTGGGTCACCGCTTGACTCGTCTAAGATACACGCACTATTTTTCCAAGCGGGTTCGGTAGACAGATAATCATAATAAAACTTTGAACTTGTCTTGATAACGGAAAACAATATCCGCTAATGTAGGCCCATGCAAAACTCTTCTTGGTTTTTCCCCCAACTGGTTGTTATCGCGTCGAACGATCTCGCTAACTACCTCGAAGATAGAATTCCGAAAGAGAGAAAGAATAAATACTACGGAAAAAATTATGCTCATATTATAAAAGTTGTTTCATATGTTTTTCATTCTGCTGCTTGCATAGCAAAATTCGGCGAAGATAGTTTTCTTCCATCTTCAGAATGGTAACAGTTGGAATACTTTCGTACTGCGCCTCAATACTCTGTTTAAGTTCCTTAACCGTTCTCAGTTTTCGGGAGTAACCCATTCGTTTTAGATATCCCCACAGAATAAATCCAAGGGGGACAGATCAGGTGATCGTGGAGGCCATTCCATTTACCAACTTGTGTGTTCCTGTGGAACCACTAACATTGGCCGTACCATCCACCGAAGCAGATCAAGCATCGCTTACTGTCTCCACAGTCGAGGCGATCGCGATTTCGTTGAACCGCTCCCTCCTTGTGCATTCCATAACAATCATTCAGATCTCTGGATTCACCATGACGCTAGAGCGACATAAAGCCAGCCGGTTGTCAACTGAGTGTTAAACGGTTTACGTATCGGATACATTTTACAGTACAAATGGTATTTACAGAATGATTTGAACTCTCATACACCCGTTGCTGTATTGTTCATAGTATCCATACACATGTGCAGCAACACACAGACGCCAGCCACTTAACTACCTACGGAGAAGGTTTCGACTTCCAACTCAGAGGGCCGCGGTTTAAGTCTGTACCAGGGACAAAATATATGTGTACACACTACGGACGAGTAGCGGACATCTGGGGGGCGGGGGCTATAACCGGGTTGGTGGTAGTTCACCTCGGTGCATGAACCACACACACAAACAACTTCCTGGTTGTGGCAATGATTACCGGTTCAATCGGGCATCGTAGTGTACGAATTGGGCGACTCGAGTGTTTGTTTGGCCTCATGAACAGTGTTTTAGTATTATGATGTGCTACTCACATTTGTGAGTAGTAGCGATTGTTGGATTTGTTATTGGAAGTACGGGAGAACCAAACACATTGTTAGGCTGATAATCGTCAATGCAGAGGCTAACACAAAAATACTAACCAGTTGTGGCAAATGAACTGTTTCGTTCCGTGCAAGTTTATTTATCTCTGTCCGACTAACTTTCTTCGTCCAAACACTCACTGACTTTTAGAATTTGAACATCAGGAACCCCCAACAGACCATGAAAGTGCACAGAAGCGCTGACGAGAGGAAAGACCACCAGGGGATTGATAGAAGCTGATTCCTCCGTAGGAACTCATACTGTTTTAGTGCCACAACTCAGGTCGGAGGAGTGTATTTTATCATCCTTATGCGAACCACTCATTATTAGACTGTACACAAAAAAACGATCTCATCACGGCTGTGGAAACCAGTACAGGACAAGTTTCCTTCTGATCATCATCATCACCTCCGTGCCAAGTCACCAGCTGACTACTCCTCGGAGAGGAACAAAGGTCTCTGAACCACAAGCAGGATTCTGATTGGATCACGGTCGTATCGATGTACTCTTATTCTTCTGGAGGAATGATGACGGTGAGGATGAGGAGGGGTCAACGGTGAGAGCTGATTGGAGATTGTTCAATGGTGGTTTAATTTCATTTTTCAAACGGACTAGTGGGCAGATTGGTGAAAAGCCGCACTTCTCGGTGAACGTTGACAATTTCGTTGGTTCTCCTGCTCTATGTTCCATTCAAATCTGTACCTTGCGCCGCTAAAGTGCAAATTGAATTTGCAAGCTAGAGCACGAATTAACTCTGGTTTGAAAACCAGAAAGGATAGGGTTTCCCATACAAGTAATTGCATCACTAACGAAGATGATTGATTGCCCTAGGACGCAGGGTTGAGCTGCTTCATCATCGTCATCGTACAGCGAAATACAGTGAGAAGCGAACTTCACTGATCGCTACCAAACTCGTAACGCATATGCATTGCGGTTTGATGGACGGGTACTGCTGCTAGGGTGTCCAGCCACTAAGCAGGAGAACAATTTCGGTTCTCGTCCACAGCCTTTAGTTCTAACAAGAACCTAACCGTAAGACAGCGGGTGAAGCGAAGTGTGGAGGCCCATTTACTTGGATCGTTTATTCCTCCATCATTTTCAACCGACTGAAACGCAAATTCCAGTCGAACCCCCAATCTGGAGGACCAGGAGACTGGACCTCGTCTGACTCCTACCCATTAACTTTCCAGGCATGATAAGATCTCCTGGCAGGATAAAAGCCATCCCGTGTAGCTCGTTGAGTCAGAGAGGTGCATAAGCCATTACACTACGTCAAGGTGCATGCAGTCTCGTTGAAGTTTAATGCTGATGCCGGTTTGAAACACCGTGATATCGACGAAACGTGAACTGGACGTGGAAAAGTTAAGCATGTAGTACCTAGTCCCAGAGCTTCTGGCTAAAGAGTTCACAACACTCGAGGATACATGTGTGCCACAAAAACATGGATGAACAGATTGTATCTGTGCAAATCATTATCGATCGTGCGAGATTGGAGAATGATGAAAGAGGTGATTTGCACTGGAAGCGAGAAGTGTAGACGGCAGTGGATATAATGATATGTGTAACACACACACACAGAGAGAGGGGGGGAGGGAGTATTAAATTCTTTCCCTGAATCCAGGGAAAAGGAAAAAGTTACTCGTGAATAAAATGAGTAAAATGAGGGGATAATCAAGTATGCTTTAAACGGTTTGCGTTTGAATCAAAATATGTGCTTAAATTAACTATTTTCTCTTTTGTTAAAGACATACTGTACACACGAACGGGATGGGAAATGTATTGGTGGTCATTTATTGGTGGAGCACAAGACGCATTCACAGTTGAGACGGTGTGTGTGTGTGTGTGTGTGTGATGACTTACTTTCACATTTGACCCGATTGAGAATGGCCGTATCCGCACCCTTTGTGTATAAAACTGCCTCATTTGTGGCCGGATGTCGTATCAGAATGGACATACGTTTCCGAACGGAGTCGAACGGGAGAATGTGTAGTACACGCACAGCGACCAGACCGTCGGCTATCACGGGCACCGGGGTGACACGGTGCGAGAAGCGGGGGGAGGAGGAGGAGGTGCGGGATGGAATGGGATAAAAAAAGAAGAACACAGAAATTATATAAAACAGATGGGAACACGAGTGGGATAAACCAGTGGAAAAATGAGATGATGAAAACTCCGGAGTTTGCAAACTGAAAAGTCTTTTCCGGGATTCACGGATGTGAAAATGCATGCCGTGATAAAGGTTGTGCATCCCCCTAGGCTTTTTGGATTAGTTCCAACTCGCCCCCCCCCCCCCCCCCNCCCCGCCCCGCCCCTTCCAGGGACGATCATCATCATCATCAATTTTTTGAGAAGCTAGAGGACAATCGAATGAGAAGCCAAAATAAGAAATTCACATTCAATTATCTATAGATCTAACAAAAATCTGTGGAAAAAGAAAAACGAATTTTAACCGCCACAAAAGTACTGCATCCCCCACCCCCAATGAAAATTATCCATTGAAGCCACTTTATTACCCTGTAGAGGATTTGGATATCCTTGGATTAAACAGACCTGAGTGCTATCAAAAGTGACCTCGGGTTTTGGATACAAGGGATACCTTTACCGAAGAAGGTTTCGTTGTGAATAAGTTGTGCTATACCGCAACAAACAGTGGTGGCGCAAACTACCAGGGTATGGTGGGTTTCAGACTGATCACCTGGCTCTTCTTTATTAAACGCCGTATAAGCCCAATGACGATGCCGTGATAAAGGCCTTTTAAAACTAAAATCATTGACCCCGTCACTTCCGAGCAACGAGAGATTTACTTCCTACTACCTGACAGTTCGCACACTTGGTTGTGCAAAGGTTAGAGGTGAGCCCTGAAAATAAAAAAAAACACCGAGTGACGCTGGAGACGTCTATCGTACCAAACTCCCAAGGAACTACATGATCATGATCATGCCTGGAGCCGGCTTATTCTTTCCAAGTAGCCAGCCACAGTTAGAGTAAAGTGAATTATTTAGAATCACATCCGTGGTCATAATATGATTTCACTCCCTAATCAACAATGTTTCTAATTCATGTTTCTCCGTGTCAACTCGGGAGTTTTGATTCATCTTTCAGGTGAAGATAAGGAACACGAAGCATTCATTATTTTGGTGATATCACTTTTGAATTTATTCCCGGGGCTTGTGAATGCAAAACGATGTACCATTTTGGGTTACATATGAGATTTTTACTCATACAGGAATATCGCACGCATATTGTATGGAAACACTGAAGCAGAACGAGATGTTCCAATTAGTTCTACGATACAGGCTCATCGGTCAAATCTTCTCCGATCAACACGTGGTGTATCGTGCAAACCCCTTCACCGTCTGATTTCTTATCCAAGCTTTGCAATATCAACATTTGTAGAAAAAAAAATATTTTTTTTCAACATCCGTTGACCTCAAAGTAATTCCGATACTTTATTATCTGACTCACCTATTTCGGGGTGACTAAAGTTTGTGCGTCGAGGCTGAAGGACTAGGGGATCAAAGCTAAAGGACTGTGGATTTTTAGTTAAAGCTTGATGGGAAAAAGTGTAACATAGTGGGTAAACTAATGGAACGACAGGTGGCAGCACAGCCTCGACAGTATTCAGTTTTTTATGGTAACTTTTCATGGCTCCCCAACACAATGCGGTTTCTGTCCAGGTCCCTCTTGTCCGTCGAACCTGCGTACCACCAAAGTTGGGTAGCAATATGGGGGCTCGAGCTTCGGACTACGGAGGTCCAAAGCACGCCGGTGA